GCATAAAAACAGATTCCTTATAGAGTAAAAAGTCAGGGTACATCTAAACTACATTCCTTTTTCGATAAAGGGATGTAAATTAGACGTATTGAAATTGTAAACGAAGCCAGGATTTGAGTTTTCTGTGCTTCATTTACATAATGGCGGCCGCAGCTTTTTTTCTAAAAGCCACTTTTCAAAAAAAAACCGTGGTCAAGACGGGAATTGCTCAACAGAAATGCCCCATTTTGAAAGATCCTGTAAACCCTCAGGCTATGTCTACACTGCAGGCTTCTTGCGCAAGAACTGTTTTGCACAAGAGTTCTTGTGAAAAAGGTCTTCCACAAGAGCGTGTTCACACTGCCATGTGCTTTTGCACAAGAGTTGTGCTTTTGGACAAGAGCGTCCATGGCATTGTGGACACTCTCTTGCGCAAGAAAGCTCTGATGGCCATTTTAGTCATAGGGCTTTCATGCGCAAGAAATTCATCTTGCCTGTCTACGCTCTTGTGGAAGAGCTCTTGCGCAAAAGGGCTTATTCCTCATGGGGAGAGGAATAACTCTTTTGAAAGAAGCCCTGTTTTCTGATGCTGTACTGTAAATTTACCTGTGCAAGAACGCACGTGCAGTGTAGAAGCTCTGCAAGTTTTTGCGCAAGAACAGCCGTTCTTGTGCAAGAAGCCTGCAGTGTAGACATAGCCTCAGGGTATTGTGAATTCAGTTGCCAGAACTAGTATAAATAGATACCCAGTAATCATCATGTTGAGTTCTCCTGTGAGGTGATGAGCACCTTCAGTGTTATACTAACACCATAGAAACTGAGTAGTTAGGTAAAAACCGTAAAAGACACTCTTGAGAAAGTTTGCAATGTGATACTACTTTCTTAAAAACTCAGAACTTTAAGGCACAGGAACCCAAAACAAATAGAAAAAGCAAGCTGTTCTTTAAAACACAAACATATCTCACCCCGCTTTCATGTAGGCCAACTCTGAAAACCAAATGCTGCTAGACACAGTCAGGAAAACACTTGAGGATTTAAAGTGATAGCTTATAATTTTATTATAGTTTTCAATGCAATTCCTAAACCTTTGGACTATGTGGAGACCAAGCAGAATTTCAGAGCTGGAGTTTCTCAGTATTTTAAATATATTTTGAAGCAGGCAGCTCTTTCATTATTGTTAATGACTGTCTCCATTTAAAGGTAAAGACATTTATTTATTTACTGAGCATCCTTTCTGTGCCTCAGGGAATGTACAATAATAAAGCACAGTTTCTACTCCAGTAAGGTTATGATTTCTACAGATCTGATCCTGAGAAATCCTGAGCTCCCACAATTTACTGAACTTACGCACAAATATAAATCACACAATATGGAAGATGTTGACCTCATTTGATGACTGCCACTTGGTGGCTGGAAAAGGAACATTTTTATTTGAGCTCCATATAGAATGACTGACTGTAGTTTTATATTTATGCAAACTCAAAACCAGGTTTTGAACAGGTGTCTGACTCATTTGATGAGTTATATAAAAGTGATCACTACAACCAATCATATGGTTTAGTCACCAATCTAAAAACCTGGTTTTAGCATGGAGCAAGTTATAAAAGCTACATCAAGATCTGTACAGCAGCTTTTTCAAGATACATTCTTTGTCACTTAAGTTATGCTACCTTCTTGCAAACCATCCAGGATGAGCATGTAGCTTATATGTGCTATTAATAATAGTCAGTCTTTAACCTGTCTTAATTTTGAAGAGATGTGGAGCTTTTTTTTATTTTTAACTTGGGAAAAAGAAGAAAAAGCTCTGTGAGAAGTCAACTGAATTTCCAGACTTATCATTGCTAAAAAGTTTCTGTATTATGATAAGAAATAAATGTAAGTAAAATGTAAGGAGTTGGATGGTATATAAAAACCATTGATCCTGCAGTATCCTCAAAGTATCAGCTAAGTGGTAGGAATGGTGCACCATTATGTTATGTTGTTTCCTGGATTCTTGCCTTTGCAAGATAGCCATCTCCGAAATCATATCAATGATACCATACATATATGAACCCACCTTTTTGTCATATCCCTATATTATCAAATATAAGACACCTGAAGAGTTTTCAAATGATTGCCCGTGTTGGCATAACTGCAGTTAATCAGCAGATCACTTCCGGAAACAATCCTACCATTCTTATGTAGGCAAAGCTACCACAGAGTTCAATTAAGAGTTGTATCTACAAAACTGTAGCCTTTGTGCATTAGCTGATGGCACGGCCCAGACAATGATGTGCAGATACCTATCCAGCTTGACATGAAATGTACATGATCATTGCCATTTTTAATTGTTGTTGAATATTAATATTGACTGTTCAGGAACAGAGATTATATATTTCCTATCTTGAGGTTAAAATTAGAGATACTGGAATCTTCCATCTTTGTGTCTATAAAAAGAATTCAGGAAAAACATTACTAATCTTGCTTGCTTACCCATAAGTACTTGTTACAGGTTTTGTTAGAACATTCCCTACAAATAGCATTCAGTTATGGAACAAAATACCACTGAATCAGAAGAAGGCAATGCTACTCTGCCTCCACTTCTTGGCAGTTACTTAATGTATTATTTTGACTTCTGACTGATGATACTGAACATCCCGTCCTTTGTACATTTGTACAGTTTGTATAGTTTCTAATGCCAATAAAGATCTGAGTTTGAATTTGACTATCCTGTTTCAGTAAAAAGGAGACATTCACTCAAGACGTGGCCACACTTGCATCAGTAGTTTGCCAAACTCTCTCTGACAGTTGTTCAGTAAGATCATTGGATTGTGGTTTTCCCTGAGTAGAAACTAGCCTTCTGAGTGCAAATTTGCTCTAAGTCCTCACCGATGAAGTGTTTCCTATATCTTTTAATTTCTGTGTTAAAAAAACCTGCTATAGTTCTAGGGCTTGAGTTCCTTCAGGACTCTGGTCATCAAATACCAATAGACACATGAAACTCAACTTCACAAGGACAAGTTACAGTCTTAAAAAACGTAAGTAATCATTGATTATTTAAAACACAATATTTTGAAGTGACAGACAGGTTACCATCATCATGTTTCAATCAGCAAGGCCATAATCAGGAAATAATCATCTCATACAATAGCAAACAAAATTAACATTTAAAAATTCTATTTGGACAGTCAAGTAAACTTATTTCTAATCTCTTTGATTGATGAATTAGGATAAAAATGGTACAATAACAGGGTTTTGAGGGTTTTTTTGGTTGTTTTGTTGTTGTTTTCTTAAACAGTATAGACTGCTAAACACTTCCACATCTACTATTGTATTATTTAGCAGAACTAGCAAGAGCTTCCTATAACTTTGGAAGGCAAAGAGTGGAATCCCCTACAAAGTCCATTAAGCTACAAAATGATGACTATTGTTTATCTAACCAGTGGCCGTTATGTTAACAGGTGGTATAGAAAAATGTAAATAACACTGCTATTAGCTCCATCATCAAAGTAAGAAGTTATACAAAAAAATAGAATAAAGACACTAATAGAAAAGCAAATGATATCTTTGGAATTTCTGTATTGCTGGGCATGCTTCCAGCACAATAGGCCTTTCAGAAGTGGTAATCCACATTAATAGTATGCCTCTACAACAGTGGTGGGTAACCTGCAGCCCACAGGCCACATGTGGCCCACTGGGGCTCCACAGGGGGCCTACAGACCTCCTGGCTGCCCCTTGGCCCCATGCACCTCTTGCACACTGGGGCATCAGAGCCCCGCACTTCCTATGCTTCCCCTCTCCCTCCCAGCACTTTTGGAGCAGGCATATTGCCTGATTCATACTCCCTCTCTGCTCCTTCTCCTCCCTCCAATAGCTGGATGCTGCAAACAGCTGATTTGAAGAGCAGTAACAGAGCATGAATCGAGTGATTTGTGTGCTCTAAAAATGCTGGGAGGGAAGAGGATGAGCAGGTAAGCGTAGACCTCCAGTGCCCCAGTGCATGAGAAGTGGGAGTGGGAGGGGGAGCAAACACGGAGCTGCATGTGGAATCCCAATGGGCCAGAGGCTGCTGTGGCCCACTGAGGTGAAGGAGAGCCACTCATTAGGCCCAACCACTGTTTGTGGTTGCCCATCTCTGACATTGTGGCTAGCTTCACAGAAATGGGCTTTCCAAACTGTGATGGGGCAACTGAAGGCATACCTGTTCTCATTATAGTGCAACCACATCTTGCCACGGACTACATCGATAAGAAGGGGTACTTTTTGATACTTGTGGATCATTGTGGGTATTTCACAGACATAAATGCAGGGTGGTCTGGAAAGGTGCGTGATGCATACATCTTTAGGAACAGTAGCTTGTACAGAAAGATGCAGGCTGGGACTTTATATCCAGAACATAAAATTACAGTAGGTGATGTGGAAATGTCCATAGTGATCCTTCCTAGGTGACCTGACTTACCCCTTACAGCCCTGACTCATGAAGCCTTACATGGTGCACCTGGACAGCAGAAAGCAGTTTAACAAGCTAAGATGATGCCACATGATTGTTGAATTGCCTTTGGCAGATTGAAAGGGAGATGGAGATGTCTCTATGCCAGGCTGGACCTTATGGAGGATCATATCTCCACGATGGTGGCTGCAGGCTGTTGCTTACATAATTTGTGTCAGAGTAAAGGTGAAGTGTTTGCCTACGGGAGGAGCACTGAGTCTGAGGCACAGTGCCTGGGCACACAGTTTGAACAGCCAGACACTCATTCTGTCAGAGGAGCCCATAGGGTGGCCACCAATATCAGGGAGGCTGTGAGGAACCACTTAAACAATGAAGGGCTCTGACATTTCTCTGTGTTGGAGTTGCTTCCCTACCTTCTTCCACTGCTTATCCTGAGCAAGGCATTCCCATGAAACCAAGGGATGTAACAGGAATCCAGGTCCAGAACAATTGGTATGGGTTGAGTCACACAAAATAAACTCTTGGAACCCTGCATCAGTTTTTTCTTTACTGATATTTTTCAATCACAGTTACACACATAGGGTTAATGCTTCATGGTAAGGGAGGGTAAGGGTTGTTGGAAAAAACCTCACAATTGTGTTAACATCCAGCTGTCAGAGTCACAGCTGCTCTGACAGGGAATGGAGTATGCTGGAAAAAAAAGCATTACCACTGTGAAAATGAGTGTGTGTGTGCAGGGTGGGGGTGGGAGGTGTTTGCCAGATACAGAATTTTACATGTGTGGCCATGGAGGTTTCTGTGTGAGCGTAGAGGGATGGTTACTGTGTAAAGAATTCTGCATGTGTTGACAGGGAGGCCTTTGGTTCTGTTTGCTCTGCATCTTGATTTGGCCCGTCAGCATCTCAGTTTGGTCTTCCATGAGCTTTAGCGTGTGCTCAGTGGATTTTTTTTCTAGATTTCATCTCCCTGGCCCAACTTTCCTCCCTTTTTTTTGGTTTGGAGAGTCCTCTGAAGTTTTTTTCCTAAGTTGATGGAGTCTGTCAGTGGAGGAGCATGTCTGACTTCTCAAGGTCTGGCCTGGAAAAGTAACCATTAACAACAGATTAACTGTACTGTTCCTGGTAATGATTGTAACATTTCACTAACATGCACATCTCTGAACAAAACAGGCCACTTTTATTATTGCCCTAGAAGCAATCTGATCATAGTAACCTTTTAAAAATGGGGGATGTGGGAGAAGAAGTGTTGGGTATGAGAGCCAAAGAAAGTACAGTCCTTGGTTGTGCAGTATGTGTACATGGAAACCATTTGTAATAATCCTACACTTGCCCGTATGTTGCATTATTATTCTGACTGATATATCCTTGCTGTTGGTTAACAGGCAGACCTGGACTCTGCTTCTGGGTAAGAGCAGGGGACGCACTGCTTCTTATGCAGCCCAGCTCTGTGCTGCCTTGGTTCCGGTGGCACAGATTGAGGTGGTGGGGAAATAGCAGCCCTGCCATGGAATCACCATGAGAAAATGAATAAGTACACAAGGAAAAGTTTCAACGCCATCTCCCAGCAAGACTGGTATCTCTGTGCATATCAAGCTCTGGACTATGGAGACCCAGGCAGGGATTAACCAGCTCACAGAAATACAGCTTCCAGTCACCCTGTGCCGTTGCCTCCCCCCGCCCCCAACTGCAACAGAGCAACTTACCACTCCACCCCACCCAGCATACGGCAGGCCTCAATCAAAAGAGAAAAAACATGTGTTTTCATTAGACCAGAAAGAGCAGTTTGGGGGAGGATGTGGGATTATTACAAAAAAAAAAAAAAAAAAAGGAAAATATGTAGCTGACCCACACAAACTATTATCCAACAACAATAATGGAAACACTTCTTCTATATTTAGCACTACTTGATATATTTTTTTAAGGTGGAAGTTGGAAAAGAGATTGCTCTGTTCCCTTCCAACAACCAGTCCAAAGCTAGTCTAATCTATTTGTTGTTATGACTGACTCTGCTCTAAATGAGAGTTCTCATCTTGTTCTCATTCTTACCCTTTAAATAAGGCTAATCTTAGGGAAATATTTTTAAATTTTATCTCTGATTTTATCTTATGTATTTCTGTCTCACTGAGTTTCACTCAACTAAAGCAAGGGAGACAGCTATATATTTTAGACTTGCTTTTTCTTACCAGTTTTCTTAACACACAAAAGTGCCCTCAGGCATAATTTTTTGCCTTCAAAAAATTAAGCTATCATGTACAGGCATAGAAAAGACAAGTCTTCTGGCATTCAGATTAATCTTTTCTGTCAGGTATCACGGCCAATAAGAACTCATTACACTAAAGCAGCTCATCTCACAAAGCCTCAATTATACAGGAAAAAAAGTCTTTATAAACATTCTGAGTAACACAAAACACTTCTTGCATGTCATCGAAATAACATGCATTTCCTCTTAGCTTTATTTTCACATTCCAGGCTACCATTTATAGCTCTGCTTTGTTCCAGCACCATTCAGCAATATGATCACTATACACTTATACATCCTCAGAAAACACAGCTCTATAGCTGGGGATTGTACCCCTCCTAGTTTTTAGTTCCTGGAGGCACTGTAGTAACCCTACCCCATTACACAGAAAACATTCTTAAAGCATTCATAAATGTAATCCAGTGGTCCCCAAAGATATTACTTGGGATTGCAATATCTGTCACATTTAGAACCTGTCAGGTTTGAAGACTTTTAGTAGAGTCTGAGTTCTGACTCTGGCTCTGACCTTGGACCCCAGCTCTGGTTCCTGACCCCTTCAGTCTGGTTCTAATCACTGAGTTGGACTGATGGCATCCCGGCCTCTAACTGCACCTGACTTCCAGAGACTGACTTCAACGGAAGTTATGGGTACTCGAGACCCATCAAAAATCAGATCTCCTCTGCATCATGTTGAGCATTGACAAAAAGGCATCACCTAAATTATTGAACACTTGAAAATATGGGACATGGTTCACAGTTAGGAGGTATCAGCTAAAATCTTCCTGCCCTTATGCATTTGAGGTGTGTTTTACTAGCACCATTCTCTATGCTATTACATCTGTGATCTGCTGTATTCTATGATCCTTTATTAATGAATTTAATTATTACTAAACCCATTTTGTCAACATTCCCTTTAATTTTGGGAGTTAGTTCGTAGTACAAAGATGAGAAAAAGATTAAATTTTTCCACAGTATTTATAATTAATTATTTTGTCATTAAAGAAAGGTTTATACACTTAGCCTTTTATCCAGGATTGGAGAGTACTACAGCCAGTCTAAAAAACTAAACAGATTAAGGGCTATAAATTAAATATACAAAATAATGAATGATATAATCACATACATTCATTTTATCTTTTTTAGTCTAATACAGATGCTAAGACTTGGGGCATAAATTAGTTTGGAGAAAATATATTTATTTTCTTTTATTTTTCATACTGTGAAAAAAAATTAGAGAATTGAAATGCAAAGAAAATAGAAAAACACACCAAGAAAAGAATTCTCGAATAAAAATTAAATGCCATGCCAGGGGAAAGGGAATACCAAAAATCAAAATGTCAGAGGGACAAAAATCAATTTGAGCCCAAATATTCTTTTGCATGTCTTTGCAAACAGTTTGCTGCACTTTGTTAAGATCCTGTCACTGCCAGTGAGTGTAGAGGCAGGCTGGATTCCAGCAGCCAGAGCCAGGCCCCTGGTGCTAATGCCCTGGGCCGTGTTGCTTGGGAGAGGGAGCTTGGGGGAAGAAGTAGAACCAACCTCTGCACTCACTGGCAGTGGGAAGCAGAGCAACGTGGCTAGGAGGTGGGGGAATGGAGTAGGCTGGAGCCGGGTTATGCCGCTTCCCACTACTGTTGGTGAATGTTGGGAAGAGGTGACCCCTGCTGCTGGTGCCAGGCCCTCTGCTAGTCCCTGGGCCCTCCTGGGTCCCATGGGTCCCCCTCAAAACATGGGACCCAGACCAGTTGGACAAATCAGCCTATAGACAGGAAGGCTCTGCTCACCAGCTGCTGGCCCCCTGCCCCTCCCTGCCATGGCATTTACAAGGGCATATCACATGACCCTTCATTTTCCCTCCCATTAATCTTCTCTGGAGGGAAGCCAGTTATGTCAACATAACAAATAGCAGTGTTTACACTGATACTTTGTGGCTTTAACTTTTCTGCATAAAGCTCTTCACTTCTCATCGAGATGGTTTTATTTTGTCGGTAAAACAGCAGACTTTTGCTACCAAAAGTAGTTTTGTAGTATTTCCCTCTTTTGTCAGAAAAAGCTGCCTTATGCTAGATCTTCTGTCTGGTGACCTGTTTTGTTGGGCTAGCAGGGCTTCTTACATTTTAGGTCTTGCTTATCTGTGCTGGGTTTGTGAGACAAGGACACAGAGGAATGCCACTTGGGTACCTCATGTAGGCATGGTGCCTTAATGCATCAACACATCCTTTGGGTCACAGAGTCTGCTCAGTCCAGTTAGGTGGTCAGTTAATCTGCCAGGTCTGACTATCTAGCTATCGTAGTCACAGTCTTTGGATAAGGATGTTAGTTTCTGTCTCCCAAAGGTGCATGGTCTTCCTCTTGTATTTAGCAGGGAACTAACTGATCCTTGTCCACAAGAGCCTTGAAAGCCCCTCTTTGGTCTTAAGTCTCTCTAAGGAATACATTAGGGAACCAGGCCCACTCCCTCTCCACTGGGTTTCAGCTCAGGACTCTTAAACTAGGCAGGCATAATCAGTCTTCAGTAATTCTCCCAGGGAGCGTCTAGACAGCAGCGCTATTGCAGTATCCTGAAATAGTGTTTTCTGCACTGTGTAGACAGCGCCAAATTTCAAAATAAGCTATTTCAAAATTAACTTGAAATAAGCTATGCAATTTGCATAGCTCAGATTGCATAGCTTATCATGCTAAAGATGCAGTGTAGATGCCTGCTGAAATCTGAGTGCCTTCCTGTCTCCATTAGTTCTGAGGCTTCTTCAGCTTGTGGTTCTGATCATCCTTTCTTCACACTGTTGTCACTTATAAGAGTGATGTCCTACCAGATTGCTGGTAGCACCCTCTCTCTCTCAAACCTGCCTGCCACTCTGGGAGTCACTTATCCCTGTTCTTCTCAGCTCTACTATTCTCCCAGCTGTTGTGAGACTGATCAGAGCTTGCCAAAACTTCCTGCATTAACTCCTTAGCTACCAGACCAGCCGGGACATACAGATCCTATTAATACTACCTCTTCATGAATCATCAAGGAAGCTAATTTAACTGTCACCAAACATACAGAGCTAACAGGATGTAGGGCAGGGGTGGCCAACCTGTGGCTCCAGAGCCACATGCAGCTCTTCAGAAGTTAATATGCAGCTCCTTGCATAGGTTCCAAATCTGGGGCTGGAGCTACAGGTGCCAACTTTCCACTGGGCTGGAGGGTGCTCACTCTTCAACCCCCTGCTCTGCCCTAGGCGTTTTCAGCCCTTTCTCTCTAGGATCCTGCCACTTCCCACCTACTCCACTGAGCCTGTCACACCCATGCTTCCCCCCTCCAGTGTCTCCCACTGAGAAAGAGCTGATCACAGTGGGCAGGAGGAAAAGGAGAAGGAGGCACTGACCGGTGGAGCTGCCTGTGGGTAGGATGTGCTGAGAGAGGTGGTGGGGAGATGATCAGGGCAGGTGACATATTGCTGTCAGATTTAGGTTGGCCACCCCAATGTACGGCAAAACTTTCAATAGTCAGAAACAAGTTAGTTTCTAAGGTTTCCACAGGGAGTTAGGCTTGGTCTTAGACTGGAATATTCTGTGAAGAAAAATCAGAATGAATCTAATTGTTTTCAGAATGCACTCCAAAACCAAAACTCACTGTTTCACAAAACTCTACCTGTAGCTGTTGAAGCTGAAGAAGGAAGAACAAGAAAGAGAGAAGCCAAGGAAGGATAAAACACAAGTATAATGGGTCAAATTCTAGAACAGCAAACACAGAGTCCATATTGATTAATGTATAAGCTTAGCTACTGAATTTGGTGCCCAGAGATTGTGCTGATAGGTGGTTTAGCAATTAGATAGACAGATAAATCGATTAGTTT